ATAAACGAACTGGTTTATTGGGTTTCTAATAGGTTACGTGGTAGTGCCTAATAGTTTACATCTAAACTCATTGTTAGCAACTTGTTTATATAGTAACTAATTAAAAAAAGTAACTACGTATTTTTTTCCGAAGTAAGTACTTGTTCACATAGTTATTAATTGTTAACATAGTAATAACTGGTTTACATTATAACTGTTTGTCTATATTGTAACTACTTAATTGTTTATATAGTAACTTCTTGTTTGTATTGTAATCACATAATTGTTAACATAGTTATTACTTGTTTGTATTGTAATCACATAATTGTTAACATAGTCATAACTTGTTTATATTGTAATCACTTAATTGTTAACATAGTTATTACTTGGTTATATTGTAATCACATAATTGTTAACATTGCAATAGCTGGTTTTACAATATATGCAAGCTATATACATAGGTGATTTTATTTCGCGACACATAAACCCTCCATTAGACTGTTTGACAAGTATTGTTAAAAGGTTGCTACGGACATAGCCCCCTTAGGGTGCTGCTCCCCTCTTCTTGGTGCCTCCATTGTTTTGAGGTTTCTGATTGGCTAACATCCCACGCTACAATCTGATTGGCTGTAGGCCTCTTTCTTCATCTTTAAGAACATTTTCAACGGCGCCATTTTGTGGCAGCATCTTTTTAGAATTTATGCCAAATTTGCCTTATTGAAAAACCCACCCTTACATGCCACCCTTTTTAATGTTGTTTGTTTTGTGATGGCGTAATTACTTAATAGTTAACATAAGTATTACTTGTTTGTATTGTAGTTACTTAATTGTTAACATTGTAATAACTGGTTTAACAATATAACTGTTTGTTTATATTGTAACTTCTTAATTGTTTATATAGTAACTTCTTGTTTATATTGTAATTACTTAATTGTTAACATTGCAATAACTGGTTTAACAATATTACTGTTTGTTTATATTGTTACTACTTAATTGTTTATATAGTAACTTCTTTGTTTGTATTGTAATTACTTAATTGTTAACATAGTTATTACTTGTTTCTATTGTAATCACATAATTGTTAACATAAGTATTACCTGTTTGTATTGTAATTACTTAATTGTTAACATACTCATTACTTGTTTACATTGTAACTACTTAATTGTTCACCTAGTCATTACTTGTTTATATTGTAATTACTTAATGGTTAACATAGTTATTACTTGTTGACATTGTAATTATTTAATTGTTTCCATAGTTATTATCAAATACATGTAATAAACTAGTAATAAGATATAATGTAAATGAAAAAAGTGACAATATCCAATTGTTTTCTTCGAAACGTCGAACCCGCGTGCGGATTGTCAACAGTAAAGGGTTGGTTGTCGGTTGTCGTAAGGATAGCCTTATATCATAGCAGTTACCTGCAGAAACGATAATCACTGCAGATGCACTTTGATTCAAGAATCAACATATAACATATATACAGAAATTATATAAATAAATGCAGGTAACACATATACAGTTTAGGAATATAGATTACGACGTGGAGAGTAAAGAAGTCGAGAAGAATATGTGATATAGGAGAAATGTAGAAACTCTCTGCAAGAAAAGGACGGAACGGTTACATCATGTAGATCTATAGAGTGCTTAATTCATCTTCTGGGGTGTCTTTCTCCTCACCAAAGTTGGTTCCATAAGATTTACAGGGTATATATAGGTTCAAAGCACGGGCATTATATCAAAAATGCGTGTCATAATCCTACAAGGCTCATAAAAGGATTATTACATGTTAATCCCATTTAAGCGCTGGGGATTATGCAGATTTTTGATCCCCTGATAAATAACGGACTGAGCCATGATCAGACCATCTCTGACAGCTAGAGAGGTATATTTGAAGGGGAAGTGCTTCAAAATTAACACATAAGTATAGCATGTGTATTTACTAAAACAATAATTACGTAAACAATGTGTCAGTATTTACACAAGAAGCTGTTAAGTAAAAAAAGAAATTACAGCGTAAACGTGTTGTTTCTATGTAAATAATATGTTACCATGTCAATAATCAAGTATCTACAAAAATGGAGACTATTTTCTAACTTCTAGCTTATTTACCAAGTCTTGTGTATTTATCCATATATGCACCCATATCTTGTACCTAATTCGATTACCGCCCGAGATGTGTATTAAATCCAGACCGCAATTTTACGGTCACAAATATACAGGTACTACTTGTGTAATGCACATCTCGGATGGTAAGTCGAAAATTCTCCTTAAATATCCATAGTACGAGAGCAAGGTTGTATGCAAGTTGTGTTTTGTGCTGTCTTTTGTAAACCACATGAAAAAAAAAATATGTTGGAGAAACTATCAATCGCACTCAAAATCGATCAAACAAGGACAATATATGAACAACGAATCAGAGCAGTGCCAACAAAACACCAAGCCTCCTTGATATACACAATCAAACGTCTGGTCTCATATCACACAAGAAATTAACATATTTTCCAATGAGGTCATGATGATGACCGTAAACTATCCCATAATCTTCGTCAACCTGTATCTCTTGGAACTCTGTGTTGTAAGTTTGTCTGTGAGCAGTCGGCATATATCTTAAAAATCATGACATTCGGAGCAAGCTCTATAATACCGCATCAACTGCGATGTCAACACTCTAAGTTGGGGTAGCAGGAACGTTACAGCCAAGAATGGGAAAGTTCACGCTAGGAAAATCTAAATCGTCACGTCCACCGCACAGCTGAGTTGTTTGTCATCTCTGTTGGTCATGTTGTAAGTTAAGATCGAAGGAAGCGGCTGATGTAGGAGAAACTGCAAGTGCCCTTTATTTTGAAACTTCAGGAGGGTATATACGATCGACATGGTCAGTAGAATTCTAGTTATTTAAAGAGTCAGCACGTCATCGATATATTTGAAAGTGAAAGTGAAGGACTTGGCAAGGATTTTAGTACCAGCCCTTAAGCTTGTAAGGTTTTCAATAATTTCAGTCTTACATGAAAACAAAAACAAGTCCACAACAGGAGGGGCACAGTTTGTTCCAAAATGAATGCCTACAGTCTGCAGGAAATACTTGCCACTTAACTCAAAACTGAAATTGTTAACAAGGAACTCAATCATTCTCTTAATTATTAGCCTCATTATATTAGTTATGTAGTTAGCCTTTTGTTTTTGTTAGCGTTCTTTTTCTTTGGTATAAGGCATGGCAATGCAAGGAGCAGACATGTCTGATAATTTATTGAAAAAACATGTGATGAAATGATGTTTTAGACTGATCATAAAATATCTGGAGTTGTTTAAAATCCTTAATAATTTAATTTCACTTCTTGCATTATACAGTAGCACAGTCACACATCTGTAACTTTGTCTGGTTACAGTATGGGATGGTTTGAAGTATGGCGCCGTTCTCCTCCATTACAGGCATACCATCCGTTATGTTGTTCCGTAATAGTACGTTTTACTTCATACACTTAATAGGTGGTTAGTTCCACGAAGAGCAAGACTTAATTTAACACTTACCTAAAACAATCATATGAGAAATATTATAAAAAATGAGTTTTGGTTACAGAGCTGTAAATACAGCTAAGTGTGTTTTTTGTTTGTTTTGTTTTGCTGATTGATTTTTAATTTTGGAGAATAAACTAACAAACATTCACTGTCAACCAATTTTTAAACGGCCTATCTCTATGTTCGCAAAACGACGATATCCAGCACTCGATACCGTTGCGATATAATCATAGGTAAATAAAATGCTTATGTTTTGAAGAAAACAATTATCTCAAGCTCGTTTCTTTACACAGTTCAAAAATTTGAACTAATCACAAAACCTCGTTGTCGATATCATGCAATTCTGCTGAATTCAGAAAACGTTAAAGCTCTGAGAATTCATCACTTTATTGCCAGTAACATGAGTGTTGAGTTAATAAAAAAATACTTTCGATCATCTACGTTTTAAATTTGCCCTTGACCGCTCCAGCCAAAGATTTGAATGTGCATTTGCATAACTTGATGAACGGAAGTGACGAAGAAAGCATCATGCAAATCAGTTGAACTGCAAAAACGTTCATGTTATAGTTCTTTGATTACAATTAAACATCACGATATCTTAATAACCAAATCAGTGTTATTTATTTAAAGCAGTATTTCTTCATTTACGTTCCCTTACTGTATTTTTTCTATGTACAACTTAAACTGTAAATAACTTCATGAACTGCGTTATCGTTACATAGTTATATTAAGAATAACCTTTTCAAAAGTATTGCTTTATGATCTCTAACGTTATAATGATGACGTCACATAGGTTATAACGTCACAATCATTGGATGTTGATGCAATCAAGAAACAATAATGACGTCACAAAGGTTATTAAATCACAATCAATGGATGTTGATGCAATCAAGAAACAATGATGACGTCACAAAGGTTATTACATCACAATTAATGGGTGATGATACAAGCGGGAAATACAAGCTTCTTTAATTCTGAGTCTAATTTGCTAATACGGACAGCAATGTCAATGGATATAAGTGTTTGTTTATTCGCTAATGAACAACAGTTTATGCCATTTGTTATATCTCAATATTCATGCAAAAGCCTTCTTGGAAATAATCTGCTGAAATAAAGGCTATTTTCCAACATTCATCAACGATCACTTTAGTTGAAATGATTATTACACTGTAGTAAAAACATATATGTATGGTAATGGTAACAAGTTAGCTGTGAATTTAAATAATTGATCACTTTTTCTTCTAAACATTACTAACGATTCGGTGGAGTACTTTTATTACCGTCCATTAATAATTGAGTTTAAAAGTTTGCTGCATACAAGAAACTCTTAATAACACCCTCGCTCGCAGCAATGACTAAAGCCATCGCCGCTCAACGTCAAGGACACACTATTTACGATCAGTGATAACTGAATAACCCCAATGGGACATGTGTAGGGAAAACTTCACACAAAAACTTCAAAATCATGAATGAAATAAGTAGAAAGAAGATGTTCTTACCTTTCGGGCTTCAGTAGTTGTAGATTCAAAAATCACAGGTGAAAAATTTTGATGAGCTATATTATAAAACGATAGAAGTTAAACAAATGTTCTAAATAATCATTCACGTACGTAAGTTTGCAGTGGCAGACGTGAGATACAACCTCGTACCTGTACAGGTGTAAATGTGAACAGATTGACTGGTAAGCAGGTCGCTTGGTCTGGTCGCCAGGGGAGCGTGGACGATGGTAAGCTAGGAATCTGCCCAGCAGCTAGATCTATTGAACTTTATCCGTATCGCACCTGAGTTTTCCATCGATCGCTTTACCTGGCGGTTCTCTCGTGTCGCCTTGGTTTTACACTATACCATTAACACTACCAGGGTGCCGCTGAGTTTGAAATCGATATTTTGTTATATATATTCATGAATTCATGACAATTTTCTGTTAGAGTAAATAATTTGCGTTTGTCAATCCATGGCTTCAATATTGTTTACTGTGTAGATGACATGAATTGTCATTATCTCTGCTCTCAACATCAAAAACAAATCAATCTTAAACATCAAACCAGTACATGTACTCGCTAACTATATCGATATAACCTGTATTTCAGGACAATTGGTACTGAAAGAATTTTTTTATCAGAATAAGAAGAACATAATTATTTAGCAATTTTGTTTTTAGAAACACAAACAGCGATCGTTTCCTTATCTTCGTTAGGCAAGACAGTAACATAACATGGGGGAAAAGAAACAAAGAAAATAATTTGATTAGTTTTTTCACTTATCGATCTGTTATATTCAAAGATGGGACTATTTACAGCTAATTTCAAAGTAATGAAAAGATCATTATTATTTGTTGTCATTCTGGGTTTGTTTGGGTGGCTTCTTGGGTTTCGTTGGGGTTTTATTTTTATTTTTATTGATCTTGTATTTGTAGGTGTTGATGATCATCTTAACCAAGTTCTAAGACAGTGTTTCCACAACACTTTAACAAAAATATTATTGAAACATTTGTCTTAATTAAAATGTCACCGACACAAGTAACTTGGTTACAATACAGTGACAAAGTAGGATGTTATACTGTGACTCATTGCATTTTCGACACTATCCATTTTCGCGACAATGAACAATTTGTGAGCATACAAATTCGCAAATTCTATCCATAATTCCATTCATCCATCGTTCTTTGTTTTCATCTTATTTATCAAAAAGTGTTCGCGTTTTTTTTGCTTTTGTTTCTTATCATATACATTTTCGCGAACTAATTAATATTTGCGATGAAGGTGTTATCGAGCAATCAACAGGAACATACTTATAAAGAGTGTACGTTATTTACAGCTGGCGGTCACTGGATTGATTTCCAAACCCTGTCAACATCAGTAGGATAGATCTATAAATATCGACTAGCAGTACTCCACTTTATCTTCACAATACTGATGATTACTCGTACAACTATATTGTTAATTGTTACGTGTTTAGAACGGAAGGATATTACATACTGAAAAAAATAGGTCAAATAATACAGAATTCAGATTAGAAGTTCCTCTGTTGAGAAAATCTGTATATCAAAGTGTTCCTTAATCATGCAATTCCTGACTATGTATTTGGCAAGAATTTGTTTAATTGAGTAAATCTCTTACATAGAAAATGTTATCTGTTATGTATTTCAGACATGTATCTTTATAAAACAAAATAATGGTATCATTATCGGTAGTAATTAGTTTCAACCGATTGAAGGTTATTGACTTTTCAATAGTGAATCGCTGAAAAATGTCTGGTAAAATGAGTCAATTTAACAAAGTCTCAATCCCGAAGGCAAATGGTATTGCTTTACTGCTTTCAATGTATTCATGAATATTTAGGAGTGCTTAAGTCAATTCTGATGTATGCCAACATAATATAAACATAATATGCAATTTGGCCTTAAACTCAAGAAATAAAATTATATTGCTTTAGAATGTTGACAGATGAATATTGGAGAATAATCTGTAGTAGGGCGGACAATTACAGATAACTCTAGTATGGTGAACGATTAATAAAACATTACTCTAGTATGGTGACAGATTAATAAAAGATAACTCTAGTATGGTGAAAGATTAATAAAAGACAACTCTAGTATGGTGACAGATTAATAAAACATTACTCTGGTAAGGTGAACGATTAATAAAACATAACTCTAGTATGGTGACAGATTAATAAAACATTATTCTAATATGGTGGCAGATTAATAAAACATTACTCTGGTATGGTGAAAGATTAATAAAACATTACTCTAGTATGGTGACAGATTAATAAAAAATAACTAGTATGGTGAAAGATTAATAAAACATTACTGTAGTATGGTGAACGATTAATAAAACATTACTCTAGTATGGTGAAAGATTAATAAAATATAACTCTAGTATGGTGAAAGATTAATAAAACATTACTCTAGTATGGTGACAGATTAATAAAACATTATTCTAATATGGTGGCAGATTAATAAAACATTACTCTGGTATGGTGAACGATTAATAAAACATTACTCTAGTATGGTGAACGATTAATAAAACATTACTCAAGTATGATGAAAGATTAATAGAAGTTAACTCTAGTATGGTGACAGATTAATAAAAGATTACTCTGGTATGGTGAACAATTAATAAAACATTTCTCTAGTATGGTGACAGATTAATAAAATATAACTCTAGTATGTTGAAAGATTAATAAAACATTACTCTAGTATGGTGACAGATTAATAAAAAATAACTAGTATGGTGAAAGATTAATAAAACATTACTGTAGTATGGTGAACGATTAATAAAACATTACTCTAGTATGGTGAAAGATTAATAGAGTTAACTCTAGTATGATGAGAGATTAATAGAAGATAACTCTACTATGGTGACAGATTAATAAAAGATTACTCTAGTATGGTGACAGATTAATAAAAGATTACTTTAGTATTGTGATAGATTTATAAAAAAAATGTATCTAGTATGGTGACAGATTATACAAGATTAATCAAGTATTGTTACAGATAGCAGAACATTACTGCGGTCTGGTGACTGATGATATCAGTTACTCTAGTATGCTGACATATAATACAAGATCAACCAAGCTTGATGACAGATAATAAAAGGGTAGTCTAGTATTGTGAAAGATAATAAAAGATGATAATTTAAGTTTCATCACTAATTGGTTTAAGTAAAACTTTGAAAAAAGATAAAAATAATGCAGACTAAAGTACTTATGAACATTTCATGCACATTTTATCTGACTGAATATATAATATGATAGTTTACCCACGTTTTGTTTTCGTTCATTTTTCATTTACTTAATTCGGATTCCAAGGAGACAAAAAATACCGTAAGTCACATGCACCGATATCTTTTTGGATGCTTTTTGATGTGGTCATTCACTTTGCTTGCTACTGTCTGACCAAAGGCTTGTTTTATTAATATTTTGATGACATCGATTGTATGTATAGAGGCAATAGGATTCATCCAAGTTGATATATAGATGAGCTTATATATTCGTGTCCATGTCATATTGAACTTATTAAATGAGTTCAATAATTTGATATGACGCGAACCTTTAGGCGATTTTCATATCAAATTTTTGAACGAGTTTAATAAATTCAATATGACATTGACACGAAAGTAAGATTATATTTATCACATAACATTCATAATTTGAAACAAAAATCTTCAAACACAAATATGTGTTCTCAGCTGAGTCTATTTAGTTATATCCAAAGTACTCCGATCATAGTATTGTCTTTCCGCTCAGTGCAAAGTAGTTCCATATTTTTTAAAGAACATTTGGAAATGTAATGAAAATAATAATGACAAAATAAACATTTTAAATTCATTTAAAATAACAGTAAATGTATCATGTGGTATATGTTCAATAAAAGTAGTACATGTAGTGGCGTATGAATATGTTCCTATAGTTTTGACCAATCGCAGCACCTTAAGGTTTGATTACACGTGCGTAATACCATATGTATGACAATGCAGTATGGCACAGTGAAATGGGTCAGTTATGAGATAACACCTTTTTATGCCAACTCGGTAATCATGTACCTGAGATAAATGAATAGCATGGCATTGTTATAAAGAATTATGTAATGCATTAATTTGGTATGATCAGGAAATGAATTTCCCCTGAACGTTCGGGGATTAAATAGGCCAGCTGTATTCCAACGTTTATATAATATCGTAAAAGGCGTCGCATGTGGGTTCCCTTGCAGAATCGTTCACTTTCTGGTTTTTTTCTCTCTCCTGCTTTGGGAACAAAGACGAATTTAAAATAATAATAATTCGTGGTTCTGATATACCGCTTTATCACAACCTAAGTCCTATGTCGTTTCAACGCGATTCACAAATTATTATCCGTGGTTATAGGGCCTTTGCAACCAGCCATTATCTTTCTCAACTCCCTGGGGAGCATACAACCGGTGCTGCCATTTTGGCGCTCACAGCTAGCATTCAACAATACCGGCACTGCCTAAACACGTACTCATTTACAGCTGAGTAGATGGAACAAGCGGAGTAAAGTATCTTGTTCAAGGATACAACACAGTGCCGTGACGTGACGTGACTCGAACCCGCAACCCTTCGGTCACGGGCCAGGCGGCATCCTGACACTAGACTACCGTACATCATAATACTTTGAATCTATATCTTATATTCATTTTATCTATTCCCTGCTCTTTCTTCCTCCACTTTCTCCCTAAGCACCCGTCCTCATATGAGCCTAGCTGTTGCGGGGAGTTTAACCACGATACAATAACAAAGTGAAGAAACAAATAAGAAGGGGAGATAAACAAGTAAATTAAATAGAGGGGGAACGAGAGAAATATTGTACCGCTTTGAGACGACCTACGACCTAGAGTGTGATAGGGTGGTCGGGTTGGGCGGTGGAGAGCGCACTTGTCTTTTACCAAATCGGCCGGGGTTCGATTCCCCGATCGGACGTGAAAAGGTATTGGGTAACCTGCCAGAACACATGGGTTTTCTCCGGGTACTCCGGTTTCCGCCCACAATAAGACCCTCGCGCGCCAACATCCAGGCCAACAAGGGTGATTTAAATAAGTTGAAATAACTTGTTTCATAATTTTTGTAAAATAAATGAAGTTTATACTTTATTTATACTGTGATAAAGCGGTATATAAGAATAA